GGTGGGTGCATCGGCCGGGCCGGGCCGGGCTGCCCCTTTCTGTGCAAAATCCACAGAAACTGGTGATAAATGCCAAAATAGTAACTTTTAGGAAAGTAACCTCACTTTCAACATATAAATGTTGAAATCCTAGCGGCGGACTGTGACCCAGGAACTGCTGAGCAGAGCTGGTTGGGAAGATGTTTTTCATCAGAAAATGCTTCTTTACAGAAACTGAGTTTTTGCAGAAAACCAGTGCCAATTTGAGAAAACCGTGAAGTGTTTATTGAGCCCCAGGACAGAAATTCACTGCCTACCTAGCAGGTCTGTGACAGAGCACTGCGGTAGTCAGAGCCCAGGAATCTGGGTTTTCCATGCACTAAGCAAGCTGATAAATAGCAATATTGTGATAAGCACTAAATAAACATGCTGGATTGTGGTGGTAGCAAATTGGAACTTTCACGTTTCAAAAGTTTCCTGCCCTGATTAAACTTCCAAGGTCAGCTCTGGTATTGTGTAATGTAATCTTGGCCAAGTCCTATCGCTCTTTTTTGTACCTCCATTTTATCATCTATAAAGCAGGGAAAAGGGTTTTGCACGTTTATGGAATGATGGGATTTAACTACTTAATTTAACAATTATCTAGATCAGTGGCAGGAAAGCGACAAATTCTCAAAATTCAGACTACTCCGTAATACAAAATATGTATGTTTCTCTCTGACCTGGCTCCCTTTGCTTTTCAGAGGTGTTGTTTCTATCAAGTAATGGATACACCTCAGAATTCAGCTACTGTAGTCTCTATTATCATTTATCTTTAGGAAAAGGCAAAACTTCTGAGAAGTCAGCCTGCTCAAATCGTGGAACCCAAAGGCCTTCTATATGTCCAGCAGAGAGAATTTGCAGTGACTACCCCTAAAGATGGTATGTAGGAACATAAACATTTTTTCTTCTGCTGAAGCAGTGATTGTGAGAGCGGAGTTCTTACAATGTTTCTCTCCTTTCAAATAGGTTCTGTTTCCATTCTTGGATCAGATGATGCAACTACCTGCCACATAGTTGTGCTCCGACACACAGGTATCTTTAAAGGATGTTAAGAACAAAACCTGTAACCCTGAAGTAATGAATTAGTATTGGTTTATGCTGCATTAATAAAATAAACTGCAATTATGCTTATATAAACTTGAATCTCAAAAGGTCGCATGATGTATTAACTGAATGACTTGTTCAAAGAGTTGGCGTGTTTAGTGTCAGAGGTTCCATGTTCTGGTTGCTCAATGAGCAGATCCTAAACTTGATCTGCTCTCGTGGCCAGTGGTAGTGGCAGTGGCAGACCTTGGCTGTGTTCAGCAGTTTGGGCCTGCAGGGTTTGGTAATAACAGTAGAATTTGTGGAAAGATCCTCGCTACATGCCTGGATTTCTGACGTTAGAGATGTTGCCTGGTCCTGGTTAAGAGGGCACTTGTACCCTTCACGTGAGTTCTGGTGATTCGATAATGGGGCGCATGAAGAGGTTATTGCCTCGTTCAGGCAGCCCACATCTTCTGCTGGAGGCTGCTGTCCTGAGCGGAAGCAAGAAGGTGCTGGATGTAGCTCTTATGCTACTGTAGTAGCGTAAACTGTTACTGATTTCAATTGTGGTTGCGTAACAGCCTCCAACAGTGTTGTTAACTGCCTTCTCCTGTCGTCCTCAGGCAGTGGAGCTACCTGCTTGACACACTGCGATGGATCAGACACAGAAGCTGAGGTGTCACTCATCATGAGTTCAGTAAAATCTTTCTCTAACACCGCAGGATATGGAAGGTCAGCTCTGCTCTTCTATTTCTTGTGTATTGTTTTTCACGAAGGTTACTGCGGTTTGTGAGGTGGGGGATTTTAATGTGATCATATGGGGTTCAGACAAGGTAATTGTGCAGGAAATCTCTTGATCGGGAACCGCATGTAAAGTGAAACTGATTTCCTTGATGATGATTTTGAGGGTATTTTTAGCAGTGGTTTAAAGCATGGTTCTGTTCTGAGTAGTGTCTCTGTAAAATGGCATTGTGAGATTTTGTGTTTATTGTTTCCCAGTTAACTTTTGTTTGAGATGTGCAAAATTTTCCAAACAACTGTTTTTTGTTTCATGTTCTATTTTTCCTTCCAGACTGTTGGTCTTGTGAATTCTTTTGGGATCTGAGAATCCATCTGGGAATTTTTCTAAGTCCTACATTTATAAATAAAGGGGGGGGGGGCAGGACAGGGTAGGGGGGGAAAGCTCTTTCTGGATGTGGGTTTTTTTGCCCCTGTAGAAAACTCAATGAACTTAGAAGATATGGTCTCTATAAACTCATGATTTGTCAAGACTTGTCTTTACATAGACACTTCTCAGAGAAGAACCCTGCTGTATGGTTCAGAGTAGTTGTGAGGAGGTCACAGGAGTAAAAATCTTCATGTTTAATTAACGCTTTCTTGGGAACTGAAAGGTGGTTACTAAGTTCAGTCCAAACCAGAGGTGCTGACCGTCGGAGATACCGCTGGGTTAGACAGAATTGCATGCATGTAATGCCTCTTAAAGTTTTTAATTTGTGCTGTTTCCTGGATGATCACCGAAGCGTTCAGAATGGAATTACCGTAACTTGCTGTGTAATGCAAACCAACTTGGCGCATGTGACTGTAACAAGTGAGGCTTCTCTAATGATTGCTTTGCAGTCTGGGCTGGGGGTTATTTTGTAAAGCTATTCACTTTGGGATGTCTTTTTAACTGCTGTTTCCTGTTATTCCATCTCTGTTAGGCTGGAAGTGCACCTAGTTGGAGGTTTCAATGATGATAGGCAGTTATCACAAAAACTTACTAATCAGCTTCTTAGTAAGTTCACATTTTTTCCACTCTCATGTCCAAAAAAAATAGTTCTGACTGGATTTGGGTGAAGTTTGTTTGTAATCTGAGCCCCCTGTTATTTCACGGAAAGAAATCTGGATTCGTTTTGAAGGGTGTCTCACACCTGAGAACTTGGTGTGGAGAGGGGTTGGACTTCTGAGGGTCGCACGTGGCCAGTGTGTGGGGTGGAGGGTCTAAACCTGTAATTTCTTCCTGGCTTATATTCTAGCGTGTAGAATTGGGGTGCGGTTCAGCTGGGCTTGGTTCCTGGCTCTGCTGCTGATACACTGCGTGATCTTGGTCAAGTGGTGTCACTGTCTAAATCTATACGTCTGCGTGACTTCATTAGTTACTGTTCATTTCGTACCTTAATGTGACGAGGTAAAATTTAATTATTGTTTGGGATTGTCTGATGGAAGATCTTATGTCTGTTTATAAAATCCGTAGTCCAGAGAAGCGATTGCGGTGCTTTACACACAAATTGGAAACGTAAAGTACCTGGTCACCTGTAAGTGCTCTGACTTGTGCTAAGCACTTTCGGAGTGTGGAGAGGCCTCGGCCCCACTGGAATGGGGAAGGAGCGGGGATGGGGGCAGATGTCAGGAGAGGAGGGAGGTAGCCCAGGGGGGTACACAAAAAGGAAAACGGAACCGGCAAAGGTCCTGGGATGCACCCTTGTGGCCATCGCACCTAGTGATTCCTGTTAGCTGTGGTATATGTCATATGAGAGTTCTGTACAGAATGAAGTATTTTGGTTAATTTATTTTTTTCAACCTTCTGATTTTCATGCATCAAGTTACAATTTGAAACAATAAGGTTGTATTGCCAGTAGAACTTTGAAAAAAGAGAAGGGTTTTTTTTCCGGTGTGTGCGATGGTGAAAAGCATAATTAAAATACAGCTGGTGAAAGACGGGGTTTGCTCACTATATATGTAACATGTTAGGAAAATACATTTAAATATAAGCTGTTAAATGTATAGTGATCTGAAGCAGAGCTGATGTGATGCCAGAGCTAAACCAGTGTCAGTAAAAGGTGTAAGTGGCACAACACGTTTTTAGCATGTTTTTGCTGTTCCAAATGGCTACTCTGTGTAAATTACTGTTACATTTAGTAGCTGTGGCTTTAATTTTATAAAAGTTAGTTTGAAGCAAATCTGCAAAACGCTCTTTGCTCTGTTGCCTTATCTAGGAACAGTGCGTTAGGTATCTGCCCACCTATTCTGCAGTGCGCAGCACTGATAATGCCCCCTCGTCTATATACAGCACCTGCTTTGCCACCTGTCAGTCTTACGCATTGCTGCTATCGTTGTTGCTGTAGGAGCATTCGATCTCCAACCAGATGATGTTCATTTAGTGACTTTCTGCGTAACAGGTAAGAAAATGTTTCCTTGGTTTCTGAAGTATCTTTAGCCACTGAAATCAAAGTGCAGGGGTCTTTTCACACATGGCTTTTTTATCTGTCCTGTGAGATCATAATGATGTCCTCCATAACGATTTGTAGTTTTCAGTGTTATTGCTGGTAGCGTGTGTGGTGATGTCAAACAGGCAATGCAGCGAGGATTCTCTCCTTACCAAGCGCTGCTGACCTGCAACTGATAGTGGAACCACCCATGCTCACTACCAGGTTATTTTGCCACCTTTGTCCTGCGGAAGGAGGCTGTGTGTCTATGGGTATCTCGAGAGGCACTTGAGAAAGGCACTTGGAGACCTTTGACCGGCCGGGCTGTTAGAACTGCCTCCCTGCGGGCGTGAATGGATTCATAAACTCATTCAGTTAGTTCATAGTGTGTGATGTCACATAAAGGAAGAAGTAATTCCCTTTTCTTCGTATCACGTTCAGGTCGTATTTCCATCATCTTTGCGTTTCAGCGCTGTTGGTGACTTACTTACATCTTTGAAACTTGGCATCATGGCGGGTTTTTTTTCCTGTAAGTTGCTCATGCAGAAAGGGGAGCGACAGTTGGCTGGAGCTGGCCGTACTGTGAGGAGATGAAGAAGAATTCTACTCGAGGCCCCAGGCGCGCTGTTCTTGACCTGTACCTTATTTTCCATGTGTCTTTTAGGCTTCCTTGGGGTTTTTTTCTGTCTTTATGCAACGTCAGAGCTATTCTTCTCTGATAACACGCAATGAAATGAATGCTGGTCAAATCCAAAGCCCTCTGTGAGTTTGACTTTTTTTTTTCTTGCAGAACTAAATGACAGAGAAGAAAAGGATACTCACTTTCCAATCATTTATGGAATAGGTGAGTTAAATTAGAATGCAATTATTTTTTTGTAACTGGATTGCTTTTCAGATTCCAATAGTAAATGGGCTGCTTTTAACGACTAGGTAAAGCTGGTCCTAAAAGTTAAGTGCTGCTGCTGGAGGCGTAGGTAGAAATAGAAGTTTTCTTCTGGTCCCAGAGTTCGGTAGATGCACACGTGGAAGTGGCTGTGTACAAACGCAAGCAGAATTTTTTCGTTTAACTGCACTTAGGATTCTGTCAGTATCAAGCTACTGTACTAACCTTTGGGGCTAGAATTCAGCCTTCTTTTCATTGTTCATTCTGTGTTTTTTCTAGTGAGTTTAAGTATCTCTGAAAATGTTCTTCCGGAATATTGAAATGCTGCCAAAGCAAAATAAGTAGAAATACGCTGTCATGGGCCGGGGGGTCTGTGGCACTGAGAAATACAAGAATGGTACTTGATGGGTTCTGAAGTTCCTGCAACATAGTTGTGTGGGGGACACAGTCATTTTAAAACAAGTGTTTTGTAAGAATTAATTGTTTCTGTATTTAAACTCTATTTCCCACCAGCTGTGAATGTTAAAACAGCAGAGATTTTCCCTGCAACCTTCCCAGAAAAAGGGCCAGATGAGGATTTGCGTTCAGCCCATGTTTTAACAGGAGCAACAGTGAGTAAAAATAACAGGGGAAGAAAGGGTATTTTTGCTGGAAGGGGGGACCAGTTAGGGGCAATGAAATGTCAGAAGTTTGAGGAAAAAATACTTTGGTGGTGTTCTGTCAGTAACAAAACAAGGGAGGAAGATGGAGGAGCGGAGGCACAGGGTAAGGGTGGAGAACAAACCCCTGCCAGGGTAAGCCTTGTCTTGGAAGTACAGCTCTTTCACCTGGTGATGTCACTAGCCCTGCAGCTTTCAGCAGGGTAACTTACGTAAAGCGATTCAGGTCACGGGCATAATCCCAGCGGTATCTTTCAGTTCTGGGTTTGTTATTACAGTGTAATGTCATTTGTCAGAATAATTGGTCAATCTTAATGCAGCAGAAAAAAAAATGGCTGCGCTGGCAGGGGGTACGTGTAAGGCAGAAGCTGCAGCTTAAGGCCTTCCAGATCAAATGAGTTTGCTGTCTCTTCCGTCGGTGTAAGCGTGCTCTGACCCTTAGGGCTCCCCGTGTTGTTACAGCTGACTAACATTTACGATGCAAAGTTGGAACAACTACATATTGGGCCTTATTTCTGGAGGCCTTTTCCACATGTGGATTTCTGGTTGGAACAAGACGATAAACAGATTTTACAGGTACCTGAAACGGACTTTGGTTTTTTTTTCCTTCTAGCTGAGTAGGGGCGGGGGATGGGCTGCCAAAACTTTTCCCAGTGTACTGCTGGGGAGGCAGAATAATCAAGAAGTTTGTATTCCGAATGTCAAGCGGCTCTTGCTACCATCTTGTTTTTCAGAATCTTTCCACATCGCCCCTGGCTGAGCCACCCCACTTTGTTTCCCACATTAGATCTACATTAACATTTTTGAAAGAACATCCCTTTCCATCCCGGTCTCTGTTTCCTGACAGGAAACCTCGCATCTACAAAAAAAATGAAGAAGGGTTGTGGGAACAGGTTTGTTCTGACAAGATCTAACCTGGAACCAAACACCGCAACTGCTTTAGGGAAGTATAGTCTTGCAAGAAGAGCAAGTTGTTACAAAAAGTGTATTGCAGGTCACAAATACAGTTGTTCCTGTGCTTTTCAAAATAAAGTATTTTGACAGAAGTAACTTGCTTTGTCTGCATTATTTACGGAGGAATGGCTGCTGCTTTGAGGTAAGAATTTGGTTTTGTTGATGTTCTGTTGCTCCAGTACGGTAATTTGAGCGGTAGCAGTGCTGAGAGACTGAGAAGGGAAGTCAGTACATTGGCGAGTACTTTAGAAAATGATTTTCCACACAAAGTGAAAGAAAGTTGCACACACTTAAAGCGTACTGAAACGTAAGGAAGTATTCTTCGACAATAACTTACTTCGAGAGTAATAATTTGAAGAATCTTTATTGAAACATTCAGATAGTATCTAAAGAGTGAAGCTCATTCCAACAAAACTACCGTTTTAACACTTCCAAATATAAAAAACATTAAAAATTAATCCTTGTGGTGATAACTTTATCCCCAGCAAATTACTTGTATTAACATACTTCATTGCACCAAAGAAACCAATAAGGAAGACTAGTCAACTTAATTGTTTTTGCACTTTAGAAAAATTGCACTCTGATTTACATAAATTACCCCAACAGCAAAATTAACCTTGTTCCTGGCATCCCAGCCCCACAGGATCTAGAAGCTGAAAGGCTAAATCAGGTGACAGTACAATTCAAAAACCCCAAATTTTTCAGATTAAGTCAGTCCTGCTACCACTACAGCCAGCGTGGTGTTAACGTATACCTCTTAGGGGGGAGAAAAAAACCCCAAACAAAACCCAGATGAACTACAATACTTGCATCCAGTTCTATCGCGAGGGGATGGCTTTCCTCAAAATCGGATACCTTGGGGGAAGCAAGCTTTTCCAAAGAGCTCCTTTCCACAAGGGGCTCTGAAAATTGCAGCAAAGTGATTAAGATAATTCGGGGGGCAACTTCTACGCCTTAGCTTTTCATTTATCCAAAGCTTTGCTTGTGCATTAAGTAGTCCTAGCCCCGATGAAGTTGTGCTGTAGTGTAGATAATTTCTTTGAGTCTGTACAATTCCTACCCTAGGTAAGTTACTGTTATTCAGAAAATAAGTGTTGAAACCATCACAAATGTACTGGCTTTTCAAGCTTTACTACAACTACCTTTAAAAATACACAATGGAAAGAACTCCAGTTACACTACATAAATGTGTTCCATAGTATTTGGTTTATAAGTGGCGTGCAAAGGAAAATAACGGTGTGTTGGTGACTCTTTCCAGTGGCAGAAGCAAGAAGCCGTTTAGGCATGCAGAGGCACCATTTCTTTCTAGAAGGCTTAAAACTCATTAACTTAGTCCTCACTGTACCTAGGGCCTTAGCCGAATGGGTCACGTCATACAACAGCAGGAAAAAATGGTTGATGGCAACGTACTATCAGTGACTCCTATGTACAAAGGCATCCCTCCCTCACTGCGCCACAACTGTTTGGCAACGTTCTTCACAAGGTAAAAAAAAAAAAAAAAGCAGCAAAACCAGCTAGTCTGACTTCAGTCGGTGTTTTGCAGGAGAGGCTAAACTGAATTTTAAATATTAAAAGGTGAACAATTGGCAGTTGATTTTTTCTTAAAGTGTATTAACATACAATAAGATCATTTTAGTTATTGGGTGCAACTGTATTCTTGATCTTGTGTAGGGCTGATCAGTTAGTTAGCAACTATTACCACGCTTAGATTCCTTCAGGAAAGATAACTGCCAATTGTTTTCACAAATGTTTATGAGCGGTTAATAAATTTCACTAGCACTTTGGTGACACTGACCACTGACAACGTAGAGGATTAAAGCAACTGTAACAAGTGTACGAGAAGACAAATCTCTGTCCCATGGGGGGAATTTATATTTGTGCAAAATCCCAGTTAGTAAGTTACAGTAGTTATTACTGTACTAGCGTGTGGCACTGTTCACATTTTAAATGCATCATTAATACCCTGCCTTCCAGGGCACGGGCTCCCTCGGCAAAGTCTGCAATCCACAGTCTGGATTTTATCTTTGACTTCCTTGTTCCTCTGCCTTTGCGCAGTCGTGTGGCGATTTGTCACTTTGAACGTCCTCAGTGCCTGTCTTTGTTGCCTGTGCCACCTCCTCCTGCGCCTCTGTTTTTTCTGTCTCCAAAGGCCCTCGCTCTTGGCCAGGGGATAGAGTTGGGGGTCTCTGATCCATCTTCTCCAGGTCATCACAGTGGCTGACTGAACTGGTCTCACTCAATGCATCAGAACTTCTTAGAGACCGTTTAAAAATTTTCTGACCTGTAAAGCGTTTGAAGAGTACAGTACCAACGAAGGCAGCAAATGCAAGATGTGGTACGCACAAGTTAAGTTTCAGAGAAAGTACCTGAATTTTACAACTGCGAAGAAATAGGTTTCATTTGGGTGCGAACTTGTACCCTAAACACAGACATACCTTCCTGCAGTTACAGCTATGTGTGCAAGGCAACGGCACCTGTTATTTTATCCTATGTACGCAGAGACTGTTAACGATTCAGCTGAAAAACAAGCTGCCTACCTGCACAATGAAGTCATTCTAGGCTAAAAACTTGCACTGAAAGATGGCAGGCCGGAAGCCAACCAACTCAAAAGGTGGGTTAAAACTATGCCAGTCAAATCAACTTTAATCCAACTACACAGAAAGTGCCATAGATTAATAGATCTTCACCTCAGAATGACTTTGTCCACAAAACATTAGGTAGCAACAGAAATGCAGTTGCTCAAATACATGATTATACATTATTTATGCCTTTATTTCAAATAAAACTTTTGTCTTGTTTACCCGCTAATTTTTAAAACTCAATAACCTCAAAATATTCCAGAGGAAGATTCCAGACTTCATGGGCAGTTGTCAGTTAATGGGTAACAACTTCCTGTAGTCCCAGGAAGAAATCTTGGGGAGAAAACAGATTGGGGTGGTGTTCCGTGCCATGTTTAAATTAAGGTTTTTAAGGCAGACTTAAGGCACTAGAAGATGAGCTCTAGTTCCAGATGTTAAAGATGGAAACTCACATGGGCCTTCCTGCATCATCCCACTCAGATGGCAGGATGTTTGAGCAAGTTTTAGAAAGAAAACTTACCAGGAAGTCTTTGCTTTGCAAGGCTGGAAGTAGGAGTTGGTGGTGGAGTAGTGCCTGTTCCTTGGGCTTTTGATACGTATGTAGATTCTGTGGATTCTAGAGAGCCTGCAGGTTAAAAAAAGAGTATCAAGTCGAATATAGCACAAACTAGACAAGTTTTCTGTTCATCTGTATTTATAAGGTATGTAACAGTCTTATTTGTAACAGACATTTCTGAAACTGCAGGTGCTAGGTTGAGTTGAAACTGCCACTTGATGGTAATCCATTTCTAAGTACCTGGGGACGTGAGTGCTGAGACTAGACTTACCAAGATGAAGAAAGTTTCCCCACACACTCACTTCGCAACACTGCTACACCCAGTATTCCGTTTCCCCTTCTCCACTGGGCATATTCCCAGCTGCAAGCTATTGAGCCGTGCACTTGGAAGGGGTGTCTAGCTATGAGGGGCGTAAGTATTCCCAAGGAAGCCTTGCTGTTCTCTGCCTTAAGAACCTTCCAGTTGGCGCATCGACAATCAGAAAGAAAGATCCCAAATGGAACAGAAAGCCCTCCTCGCTGTTTACAGAGACACACAGACAGCTGGGCTATTGTCCTAGGTCTGACAGACACTTTGCCGAATTCAGGAATATTCTCTAGACTCTGCTGCAATTTTTACAGTGAAAATTTGTAATTTCAGAAAGTATTACGTTAGTACACCAGTCTTAATGACGTAAAAGTTATAGACAGTTCTTCTCACATCACCAGATGTGAATTACAAATATATGAGTAAAATAATAGTCTTTTACATTGTAACATTCCATTCATTACCGTCTCCCACAAAGCCACGTTCGCGCTAGTCCTCAGCTAGTTTTAGCCTGTCCTTGTCAGGCATCGCACCTTTCAGCATGCAAACTCGTACTTTACCGACGTGGCAATAGCCAGATGCTATCTCAAGTCAGGATTTCAGAGACATCAAGTTCCAGTAGCAAAGCGGAACACCCGAGTGCCACTTTGCAAGCACACTCAAGAGGATACATGTGCAGATACATGGGGAAGCAACGTTCCACGACCTGAGCGACCCTGCTAGCTTATGTAGATTTATAAACACAGCATAAATGCCAAACTTTTGCAGCGTGTGTAACCAAAAGTCACAGAAATGAGTCCTCTATTATTAAATGCCAATGTCTAATATAGCTTTTTTAATGTGACTCAACATGCAAGAACACAATGTAAACTGTGCAAGTGAGGTTAGAAGATTGTCTTATCGGGTGTTAGAGAAATAGTGAAGAGCATGTTCTTTTACATTCTGAGGGTGGATTATGTCACTCACAATCAAATCAGCACAAGAAAGCGCGTTGCAATTTTAGTATAAAATTGGAAACAGTTCGAACGACGGCATAACATGGCTGCAGACGCACCGAGTCCTACCTGCTGTTAAATTAAATGTTCTTCCCTTTGGTGAGGCTTGGAATGGAGAAAACCAGTTCAGCACAGAGCCTACTACAGGTATTTGTCGTAGCAGTCCCTGCAAAGTACACAATCGAACACTGGCTGGTGAGCAAGCTACCTATGTTGTGACAAGTTATTTCAAGTTACCTAGTTCACTAATTTTTATAGTCTTACCTCTTCCAGAAGTCGTTCTTCATTTGCTTTCTGAAGCTGAAGTTGTGCTTCCTGTATCCCTTTTCTAACAACTTCAGTCATGTTTTCTAACAGCTAATAAAAAACAGAAATTATTATATAGATTACTTGGACCTGAAATTGTCTTTTTAGTTCAGGTTTTGAGGACGTAAACATGGTAGTCAGATATTTTTCTACTTTAAGATGGTATTTGACAAGCACTATTTCATTATGACTGTAAATTAAAGAATGTACAGGCTGACTGCAGGAGTTTTAAAAGCTATACCCAGAGGACAGAATGTAATTTTAAACAGGAATGGTACATATTTTTCTTTTACTTAGAGATGAGCCTGTGACCCAAATTCTTCAAAGATCTGCTTAGCACATAAGCATTC